GAAGATTTCTGTTAGCAGTTCTTCAATGATCCTCTCTGTGTTTTCTGTTTTCTCCCCGTTCTGGAACTCCAATCACTTGCAATTTTAGCTTTTGATTGTATCCCACATAACTCTCAGGGTCTCTTCATTTTTCTTCATTCTTTTTTCTGGGTTTTCCTCGAACAGAGTTGTATCCAAGTGTTTGTCTTCAATTCCACTGATCCTGTCTTCCACCATTTCAAATCTGCTCCTCAGCCCTTATGTGACAATGTCCATTTCTGAAATCTTCTTGTTTATCTTTTGGATTTCTAATTGTTGTTTTTGTATAATTTCTAGTTATGAATTTAGTTTGGCATTTTGTTCCTGCAATATTTTCCTGAATTCTTCCAATTTTTTGTTTGTATTTTCCATGAATCTATTTTTTTCCTCTTGTTTGTCAGCTTTTTGCCTCAGATCTTGCAGAATTCTTAGTATTAGAGATTTGAATTCCCTATCAGGTAGTTCTAGTGCCTCTTCTTCCATTCGAAAGTCATCTGGTGTTTTATTTTTGATGCCTACTGGAACTATCCTGTCCTGTTTTTGTAAATGTTTTGATATTGTCTGCTGTTTTCGGGGCAATCAGTAGTTATTTTTCTGGTTTGTTGACTGTAGAGTTATTTGTTTCATCCTTTATTTTTATTTATCTATGTCTGAGCAGATGGGCTGTGCATTCTTTGTTGTTTGCTCATCTGTGGGCACGATACTTTTCACCTCCTTCTCCAATTGGCAGGGTTAGTCGCTCAGATATGGTACAACAGGGCAGGTCTACCTGAATAGGAGTTATGGGGACAGGTTGTTTGTGGCACTTACTACAGCCACCAGGGCGAGTCGGTAATCAGTGCAGGGCAGCTGCCAGTAGGCTGTGCCTGTGCTGCTTGGTGGTGTGATGTTAAGTGCACAGTGCAGGTAGGCAGGATGGAGGGGGGAGATTGTTATCTGTGGAGCTAAGATGGATAGGGGAAACAGGAGAGAGGAACAGGAGCCAAAAACATACAAACAAAAAAGAGCACTGGGGGAGCTTGCTGTTGGAGTGGAGAGATTAGAGACTATGAAATGGAGAAAAACAAAAAGGGGAAGAAGGAAAAAAAAGAATGACTAAATAAAAATCAGAAAGGAAAAAGAACAGCAGCGCTCCCAGGGATCCCACCGGTGCAGGTATGAGGTCTGGGGAAGTTGTTCTCAGGTGTTGCAGAACAGCCTGGCTAGAAGGCATAGAGGTATTCAGCGCCAGGTATTCAGGAAACAGAAAGAGAAGGAAGGTATAGAGAGACGAGAAACTGAGTAATGAAGAAAGACAAAAAGGGAAAAGAAAACAAAACAAATTTAAAACAAAAAAAAATAACAAGAACAGCCCCCAAAAAAACAAAAAAAGGAAAAAAAACCCATGAAAAAAGAAATGCCCTCAGGTGCGGTCGGGTGGAATCCAAGCAGCTGGTGCTTCCTGGACAAGAGACTGTGGCCGCGGGAAGCAGAGGAGGCTGAGTGGGGGTGAAGAAGGGTGGAGGGTGGGAAAGTGTATATCACAAATTACCACTTGTTCTGCCTCCTGCTGGAAGCTCCGTGAAGCTGCTTTCTCATACCCCTATTTGCTGGTCTCTGATAGGAGTCCAAGATGGTGGATCCGCACTGTGTTAGCTCATAGGGGACCTCTGCATGCATCTCTCCTCGCTCTCCGTTCTCTGTCAGTTTTCTCACTCCATTGGTCCTTGGCTGAACTCTTTATCTCTTCATTTGATGTTTTAGGGTATCAGGATTGCCGTTTTCTCTGTTTTGCTTAGTTTTTCAGATCTTTGCTGTGGAGGGACGGCGTGGTGCTTCTGCCTAGAGCACCATTTTGCCCTCGCCCCCACCTTTCTTCAGCCCCACTCGGCCTCCTCTGCTTCCCGCGGGCACAGTCTCTTGGCCGGGAAGCACCGGCTGCTTGGATTCCACCCGCCAACCCCGGCCTACTCCAAGTGCCATTTGTTGGCTGCTGGTGTTGCTTTTTTCTGCTTCTTTTGAATTCTTCCTTACCTCTCACCACCTCCCCTCCTTTCGCTCAAATACCTGGCTTCATGTGGCATCTTTGCTTCTTCCTGAAAGGCTGTGAAACTTCGCTTGAATGTGAAACTGCTTCCCGGTACATGGTGTCACGCTGGTGGGATCCAGGGGCTTTTTTCTGTATGTTTGTTTTGAATTGTTTGTTTTCTTTTTCTTTGCTTGCGTTGGGAGCCCGTTCTAGCCAGACAGTACTGCGTGGCTTGGGACCTACCCCCCAGCTTCTACAGATGCGCAGAGGGATCCCTGAGAGCATTTTTTTTCGTGTTTTTTTTTTTGTTTTTTTTTTGGGGGGGGTTCTTGTTTTTTCTTTAATTTGTTTTGTTTTGTTTTCCCTTTTTGTCTTTCTTCATTACTCAGTTTCTCATCTCCCTATACCTTCCTTCTCTTCCTGTCCCCTGGATACCTGGTGCTGAGTGGCACCTTTACATCTTCTAGCCAGGCTGTACTTCAACACCTGGGAACAACTTTCCCAGACCTCAAAGCTGCACCGGCAGGATCCCTGAGAGATTTTCTTTTCTCTTTCTAATTTTTTATTTATTCATTCTTTTCTTTTCTTTTTCTTCCCCTTTTCGTTTTTCCATTTCATAGTCTCTCATCTCTCCACTCCAATGGCAAGCTCCCCTAGCACCCTTTTTTTTTTGTAGGTTTTTGGCTCCTGTTCCTCTCTCCCATACCATTCTTAGCTCCACACATCACAATCTCCCCCCTCCATCCTGCCTACCTGCACTGTGCGCTTAACATCACACCACCAAGCAGTACAGGCATGGTCTACCAGAATCTGCCCTGCAATGATTACTGGCCCGCCCTGGTGGCTGTAGTAAGTGCCACAAACAACCCGTCCCAGCAACTCTTCCTTCAGCTAGACCAGCCCTGCCGTACCATATCTGAGTGAATAACCCTGCCAACTGGAGAAGGAGGTGAAAAATATTGTGTCCACAGATGAGCAAACAACAAAGAACACACAGATGAAACAAACAAATCTATAATTAATAAATGATAAAAATAACTACTTAACGCCCCAAAGACAGCAAACAATATCAAAACATTTACAAAAACAGGACAGGATTGTTCCAGTAGAAAGTGTTAAAAAAAAAAAAAAAGAACGTTGACAGATTGTGATAAATGTAACTAATGTCACTGAACAATTTGTGTGGAAATTGCCAAATGGAAACCTAACTTGCTATGTAAACTTTCACCCAAAACTCAGTATTATTTAAAAAAAAAAAAAAAAGACAACACAGCAGGGAAACACCACGCAAACTCTTAACAGTTGAGTGTAGACTGAATTCCTCTGGAAAGATCCACACCTAGATGAAGAGACATCTGCAGGGCTGCCTCACCAGTTGCCTAGGCCCCTGTCTGTCTTCACTTCCTTGTATGCAAAGGGGATTCCAGAGGCTTCACATCATACATGTCAACTCCCTCACCCCCATCTCATGGGCCTGGGAGTTGCTAACAACCCAGTGCCTCCTGCCTTTTGTCTGCAGTCCTGAGTGGACAAGGGGGGATCAGAGTGACAGGCAGACCAGCATCCCAATGAATGAAAGTCTCCAAGCTCACGAGTCCCCAGTGCCACCTATTTCTCCATGTTTCTGTCGCTAGCCATCTCTCCTACCTTCTCCGTAGCTGCCATTTCAAACCTTCTCCCCCTCCCCAATCTGGCCTCCCACTTCATACAGAAAAGAGGTGCTGACAAGACAGCATTTGCCTGCATCCTCCTGTCCCCACCTGCCCTCCTCTCCCACCTCACTCCTCCGTTTCCTGCATCTTCACCTGCTCTCCCTCCACTGGCTCCTCATCTGATTTAAACTGGCTCAAGACACTTCCGTATTAAAATATGAGAAACGAAACCAAAAAACTCCACAACCTCTCTTCCTACATGTTTTGGCAAATTCTTCCTCCTCTGCTGGGGAATTCTTGATGCCTGTCAGTGGCCTTCAGGGACCATCTCTGTGCTGGCAGCTCCTGGATCTGTCACCATCTCTTCTGAGCCAGACTCACATGCTAACCATTCCTCTCCCCCTTGGTGTCTCTCAGACGTGCTGTTAGTGATTGAATTGTGTCCCCCCAAAGTATGTAGTGGAATCCTGGCCCCTGTATCTGTAAATAGATCCTCTTTGGAAATCAGGTTTTCTTTTTTATGTTAATTGGGTCATACCCAAGTAGAGCAGGTTCTAATCACTTCTGAGTTATAAAAAGAGCAGAAAAGACACAAGGACAGACACCATGTGAGGATCGCCTACAAGCCAAGGAACACCAAGGAACCAAGGAATGCCTGGTGCTACTGACAAGGACTGCAGAGACCCTGATTTGGACTTTTAGCCTCTAGAACCATGAGAAAATAAATTTGTCCTTTAAAGCCACCCACTTGTATTTGTGCTACGGCAGCACTAGGTAACACTTTTACTTTTCACTCCTTAAGAGTACTCATGAGACTGACCATCTTAATTACTCATTTGTGTATCTTTTTAAAAGCTGCCTGTTAGTGTCATTTGCTGGTTTTTATTAGACCATTATCTTTCTCTTATTCTAAGACCTCTTTGTATACTAGATCTTAGGAGCAGTCCCCGGATTACTGAATCCCGTTCCTAAATCCATCTTTAAGTCGAATTTGTAAGTAAATCAGAACAGTAGATATGATTCGTATCTAACATCAAATGTTCATCTTAGTGTATAGTATCTAGTGTACCTTTCTATGCATTTAAACACTTCCAGATATACTAAAACATCTTCAATACAGTAATGTTTTGATGCATGTCACAAAGTAGCACCCGTTTACTACAAATCATTGTATGTACCTCAAATTTTTCATATAATAGCCTTTACAGGGGTTGGTTTGTAACTACTGGTTGTACATGGGACACTCATACCCCAGAGACTGCCTGTAATTTTGTATCACATTTTATAAAGGTATTTCCACTTTTTGCCCTTTATCTTTCAGCTTTATTTGGGATTATTTAAAAAAAAAAATATTTAATTTTGTGTAGTCAATTTATCAATATTTTCACTTATGATTTCTTTCATCTAATGCTTAGAAAGTTTTCCCTACTACATAATAAAAACATTGTACAAAAGTAATGCATGCTTGTAAACAGTTAAACAGAAATAAATTAATTTAGGTAGTTAGTATCTTTTTATTACAGGGTTTCCAATCCAAGAACAAGGTTTGTTTCTCTCTCCATTTATTCAGGTTTTTCCTTTCGTGATCATCAGTGGAGATTCATCATTTTCTCCATGTGCATATATATTTATTCCTAGAAAATCTATTTTCTTGATTCTGTTGAGAATGGAATATTTTCTTTCATTATATTTTCTTTTGGTTGGTGGTATAAAGCAAAGTTATTTATTTTGGGGTGCTACTTTTTAACTGGTCATCCATCCCTGATTATAAATTGAATGAATAGATGTTTCCAAGTGAAGACTCTGTCAATTCATTTCCTTCTCAAGGTTTTCCACCAGGGTGATCTGATGATACTTGATCCATGTCAGCATTAACCTTGAGAGTTCTCTGTATCTTTCTCATTATTAAGATTTTCCCTCACTATGGACACTCTGATGATGAATAAGTTGGAAGCTAAACCTAAAGGCTTTCCCACACACATTACACACATAGGGTTTCTTCCAAGTGTGGACAGTCTGATGTATAATACAGTCAGAACTATAGCTGAAGCCTTTGCCACACTCCACACATCTGAAGGGTTTCTCTCCAGTGTGGCTTCTCTGATGCCGGATTAAATGCGCATTAACATGGAAGGCTTTTCCACACTCCTTACACTGAAAGGGCTTCTCTCCAGTGTGGATTCTCTGATGCACAATATAGTCAGAACTACAGCTAAATGCTTTTCCACACTCCATACATTTGAAAGGCTTCTCCCCAGTGTGTATTCTCTGATGCCTAGTCAGTTTGGCATTGATACTGAAAGCTTTCCCACATTCCTTACATTGATAAGGCTTTTCTCCAGTATGGATTCTGTGATGATCAAGCAGGTTTCTTTTAGAAGTAAAGCATTTCCCACACTCATTACATTCAAACGGTTTCTCCCCAGTGTGAATCCTCTGATGCTGAATTAGTTTTGCATTAACATTGAAGGCCTTTCCACACTCATTACACTCATAGGGCTTCTCCCCAGTGTGGATTCTCAGATGCTGCCGAAGCTGGGAGTTACACCGGAAGGCTTTCCCACATTCATTACACTCATAGGGCTTCTCCCCAGTGTGGATCCTCTGATGCTGGATTAATTTCCCTTTAACACTAAAGGCTTTTCCACATTCAGAACACTCATAGGGTTTCTCCCCAGTGTGGATTCTTTGATGCTGAATGAGTTTCGCATTACTGTGGAAGGCTTTCCCACATTCCTTACACTGATAGGGCTTCTCTCCAGTGTGGATGCTCTGGTGCTGCCTAAGCTGCGAGCTGCACCTGAAGCCTTTTCCACACTCAGTACACTCATAGGGCTTCTCTCCAGTGTGGATTCTCTGATGTTGAATTAATTTTGCATTAACATTGAAAGCCTTCCCACAGTCAATACACTCGTAAGGTTTCTCTCCAGTGTGGACTCTCTGATGTGTAATATATGCAGAACTACAGCTGAAGCCATTTCCACACTCCTTGCACTGATAGGGCTTCTCTCCAGTATGGATTCTCTGATGTCTACTTAGACTCCCATTAACGCTGAAGGCTTTCCCACACACCTTACACTGATACGGCTTCTCCCCACTGTGGATTGTCTGATGCGTAATATAATGGGAACTATAACTAAAGCTTTTCCCACACTCCACACATTTGAAGGGTTTATCCCCACTATGAAGTCTTTGATGCCAAATTAATTTTGCATTAACGCTGAAGGCTTTGCCACATTCCTTACACTGATAGGGCTTCTCTCCAGTGTCAATGTCTTGATGCTGATTACATTGAGAGTCACACCTATAGGTTTCCACTAATTCTTCACATTTGAAAGGTCTTTCCCCAGTATCAATTATTTCATGCTGAATAAGTTCCCTGTCAGCACTGAAGGCTTTCCCTGATCCTGTACACTCAGGGAGCTGCTCTCCAGTGGAGACAGTATGACAGTGATACAAGTTTGGGCTTTGACTAAAGAAATACTCCTCCACAGGGCTTGTCTCATCTTTCACTGTCCTGTCAATGAAACTGCTGTCTTCTTTCTTCACACTTCCTACTGAGTGGACTTCCTGCTGTTTCTCTAGAATATAAGCTTCTGGAAAGTCTGCCTCCTGGGGAAAGTTCCTCTGAAGTTTAAATGATGTACTATCTTTTTCTTCACACATTTCCTTTGTCAAGTTATTGTCAGTCTGGATATCAATATCTAAAATAAAAAATAGAAAACATAAAAGATCACGTAACAACCATATGACAGAGAAAAGAACTGTGCTAGAAAGAATAAAGGATAATAATAATCAAGGGAGTTTTTAAAATTACCAGACTAAGTTAAAGAACCTGAAGTTCATCCATAAGGTATAATAATATGTAGCTGGTAAAAGAATGAAATATATCTATATATGCTGACACACACACACACCCCAAAAAAGGCAAAGATACACTGTTGAGTGGAAAAACAAGTTGAGAAACAATATGTAAAGTAGATTCCATTTATGTAATAAAAAAGCCTAGAAAATTTCTAGAAGAATACAAAAGAAACTGGGCAAACTGACACAGAATGTTTGACAGACTCTTTTTTCCACTTTGTACACTTTCTGTACTATTGAGAGCATGGGTGTTGTAAATTTTTTTTTTTTTTAAATAATTCTTAAAGTAATGACTAAAAAAGATCACCAGTCTCTCTCAACCTAAGGCAAGACCGTTATAAAGGACATAACCAATAACATGAAGGTTAAAGGTGAGAGCAGTGGAACAAAACTCCAGGTCTCGACCACCAGTTCTGTGTTCTTTCCATCACACCATGCTTTTCTACACTGCAGTTTCTTCTCAGTTGTCCCTATGTACTTGAGTCTCGTTAATAAAAACAGAAAATGCTTAAGAAGGAGAATGGCAAGTGTCAGCACTACTAGGAAGCAAAAGGAAAAGAATTCTGTTTCTTTCCTTAGAACTTAAACTCTAGACTTCCCAAAATTCCTTTGATTTTTTTCTCTACTTTAGAAAGGGCCTGTTTAAGGTCCCCCTGACGTTTTAATCCCACCTCTCCCACCTCCCCCAGGACACTTCTGCCTTTTCCCTTTCTCTCCCCCAATCCTAAAACTGATCAATCTATAAAATTATTTCCATGACCTCAATAGTCTTTAGAGCTACTGATTTCTGCATTTGTTCCCATATTTCTTAAAAATGTGCCTCAAAATGCTGCCTCTATTTTTTCATCTCTCATTCTCTCCTCAGCCATGTGTAATATGCCCCCTGTACCAGTATTTCATTATAATCGCCCTCAGTAGACCCAAATGACCTGGATTTCCCTAGCAAGCATTTTCAAAATAGTCTTTTCCCAAATATAAAAGGTTAATACATACATATCTGTAATATCAGAAAGTTACAAGAAAGAAAATTAAAATTACCTGAAGTACAACCACCTAATGATAACTATGGCTAATCTGATGTATCTCCTTTCTCAATCACATTGATTAGAATTTGTATTTCTTATATGGATCAACCAGTTACATTCTTTGCCAATTTTTCTATCCTAGTGACCTTTTATTTACCAAATCCTATGGTGTGGCAGATGATACTGGTTGCTTACCCAATATCCATTCTCCCCTTCCTCCTTACTAGCACATATTTTTTTTTTTTTTCCTACATAGCAATATGCCCAGCTAGCTATGTTCCCTACCCTCTCTTGCAGTGGAGATGGCCATTTGACACAGTTCTAGCAACTGAGATTTAAACAGAAGTCACTGGGTGGAGATTCTAGGAAAGTTTTAAAAAGGTCACTTTGCTGACACGGGCCTTTTGTCCTTTGCCCTTCCTCCTTCTGCCTGCCTAGAACCCAATTTGATTCCTCACCCAGTTAACCTACACAAATTGACTAGATTAACTTTCCTATCCTCAGTTAGGAGCCCTGGTGATGCAGTGACTAAGAGCTCAGCTGCTAACCAAAAGGTCAGCAGTTCGAATTCACCAGCCTCTCCTCGGAAACCCTATGGGAGCAGTTCTACTCTGTTCTATAGGGTCTTTATAAGTCAGAATCGACTCAACGGCAATGGATTTGGTTTTTATCCTCAAGTAAGATCACAATGGGCTGTTCAAACACTTCAGAAAGACGTAAGGACTGTCTGCTGCCAATAGGATGAAATCCAGCCTCCTCTGATCAAAGACGTCCATAATACTGCATTTCTCCCTCTATTTGTCAGGCACATTATACTTTCTTCAAACCCTCTATTTCCAAAATATGCCTTCCTTGGTCAGGGATCATTTGGTTAAACTGTCAAAAACAAACAAAAATCCACTGAAATTATCTATCAAAAGAAGGATTCACTGAAAGTATACAAGAACATCTCATGGATGGCATATCTAGAAAGAAATCTGGGCATCATGGGGTATGGGAAGTCATCTGGTAGCTACTCTGACTCCTGCTGCTCCAAGTGTGGTCTGGGAACTAGAAGCACTGGCATCACCTGGGAACTTATTAGAAATGCACAATCTTGGCCACACCCAAGACTTACTGAATCACAATCTGCATACTGACAAGACTCCCAGGTGATTCACGTGCACATCAGTGTTTGAGAAGCACCGAATTAGAGGACTTCCTCCTTTCTACCTTACTTCACTATGTACAGTTGTCTCCTCCCAAAATATAATAATGATAAAACAGAATACTTAATTGAGCACACACTATAAGCTAGGCCCTTGATATGTTATTTAATCCTCAACCTCTAAGACTAGTACTATTGCCTTATTTTATTATTACTGAATTTCCAAAGATGAGGCCATTGAATTTTTGAGAACTCAAATAAATGACTTGCTCAAAGTCACACAACTAGGAAGTGGCACAGTTGGAATTTGAACTCAGGAAAGTCTACTCCAACGACTGTGTTTTTAACCACCAGGCTATTCTGCCTGTCTGTGCAAGAAGACTGTTAATTCTGTATCCTCCACATTAAGAGGACAATACTTAGAAAATAGCAATGACCCAAAAAACTACTGAACCCATTAATATTGTCTGAGAAAGGTGGGATTTCAAAATTAGGACTAAAAAGAGTTAGAATGAGGCATCTGAAAAATGAGCTGTTCTTGGGATTAGGAAAAAACAGCAAACTGCTAAAACAGACAGGATTTATAAGAAAGGTTTCAATCGTACTTATCTCTATAAATCATCAAAACTTGTTTATATTATACTCTATATGGCTGGCAGATAACTGTGGCATGCTTATATGTTGCTCAAGTTGGCTTTCTCGCTACAGAACTAAACTTTGCAACATAATGGGCAATCTGTGCTCCCTTACCAGTCCAGAGGCCTTGGGGGCCTGTTCCCACTCCAGTGGGCACTGGAAGTGGGCCCCAGAGCTCAGCTCCTCCCTCCAGTTGTGAGATCATAGTAGGTTTGAGAAGTGGAAATCCTGGTTCAGGGAACGAAAATAGGAGAGACAGGTGAATAATCTCCCACAAGTCAGTTCCTAAACCTCTTCTCAGATTGTCTCAGCAATGGGGAGGGAAGGTAAGAGTCCAAGGGACCCCGTGCCTAAAAACTATGGGAAGATGGGGGAAGGTGTCTCGGGCAGGTAGGAATGGTCTTGGGAAGGTCTGGGGGTCTTGGGCAGGTGTGGGGAAGCTGGGAAGAGCCCAGATTATGGGACCCAGAGACCTCAGGCAGGGCAAACCAGGGAGATTCTGCTCAAAGGGATACCACTTTGTGACCTTGGCCTGAAATATTCTTAGGGCACATTGAGATCCTTGGAAAGATATAGGTACAGTGAGAAGAAACTTAGAAGGCATAGCTGCGGGAACAAGAAGTACTTTTTTCCCACACTGTGTCCAAAACATAGCTCCTATAGGGTAGAGTAAAAGTGCACACCTGTCCCAGTATCATGGATTGAATTGTGTCCCCCAAAAATATCTGTCAACTTGGCTGGGTCATGATTCCAGTATTGTATGATTGTGTAATCTGATGTGATTTCCTTATGCGCTGTAAACTCTATCACTATGATGAGGTCATATGTGATCTCCTTATGTGTTGTAAATTCTATCACTGTGATGAGGTTACACTGATGAGGTTTACAAGATTTGATAGTGTCTTAATGCAATCTCTTGAGATATAAAAGAGAGAAGTGAGCAGAGACACATAAGAACCTCATACCACCAAGAAAGCAGTGGGGGAGCAGACTGCGTCCTTTGGACCAGAGGTTCCTGCGGTGAGATGCTCCCAGACCAAGGGAAGACTGATGCATCACAAGAACCTTCCTCCAGAGCTGACAGAGAGAGAAAGCCTTCTCCTGGAGCTGACAGCCTGAATTTGGACTTGTAGCCTACTGGACTATGAGAGAATAAACTTCTCTGTTAAAGCCACCCACTTGTGGTATTTCTGTTAGAGCAGCACTGGATGACTAAGACACCCAGCAAAGTCCTATACTGGCCCAAAAAGGACTTGGGGTTCGCCCTTCCTCTGAGTCTAGGGAATTAGGAATCTCTGCCCCTGGGGCTCCCACTCAGTAAAGAATTACCAGAGACCCCACCTGTAACCTGTAAGGGGGAATGAAGCAGGAAACCTCAAATGGCAGAATCTGGGCCCCAGGGGGAAGGAAGCCTTACCCAGGGAGGCCACGTGCCCATAATTCTCCAGCATCACATCCCTGTACAGGGCCCTCTGTGTGGGGGACAGGCCATCCCATTCCGTCTGCGTGAAGTACACAGCCACGTCCTCAAAAGTCACCAACTTCTGAAACAACAGGTTCCTGCTGCCCTAGGGCCAATTCCATGGCTCAGGCCCTAAGTGAGGGGCAGAGGGCAGTGTAAGGGCCTGGGGAGGGAGCTTTTGTAGAGCGTGACATTAATAACAGGAAAAATTTGAGAAAAAGCACCTGGAAACTGAACCACAGAATATCCAACTTCCATTTCAGCCAAGAAGTCTCATGACATTTTTTACACTTATAAAAGATAACATAAGTTGAGATTAAAAAAAAAAAAAAAATTGCCACAACCAAATTCTCCTAAAGCAACTCCATTATTTTAAGATAGGCTGATTACATCACCTAATCCCTCACAGTGGCAGACAAGGCTCAGGACAGATCCACCAGCAGTTCCCCTCATCCCCTTGAGGGCTTAGCTTCTCTAGCCTGCTCCCCATGCCTATCCTAGGCCGTGTTCTGCTCCCCACAGCTTGCTCTCATCCTCAAGCCTCAGCCACCTCCAAAGAACAGAGAACAGTCATAGCCTCTATCTCATCCAGTCCCCATCTGCTGCCTGATTCTCATCAGACCCCCAATAAGGGGCTGAGCAGCCTCTACTCGAGCACCTCCAGTAGAAGAAGCGTGTGCTGCCTGGGGCAGCCCATTCTGCCTTCTGATGAAAATCCAGCATTTCTTTGACTTTCTCCCATTCAAGCCTCATCCTTTCCAACTTCTCCAAGACTTCACCACTTCTCCCAAGGTTTGGGAATAAGGGAGATCAGCCTTCTTGTTGGCTGGCTACTCTGCCCCTCTTTGCTTCTCCTCTTTGCATCACTACAACATATGGTCAGCACAGGACTGCCACTCAGGCCTGATGCTGCAGGCCCCACCCAGACCCAACTCCTGCTCCTGGCCAGCTCCTGCCTCTGGCTGATTCTCCCTCTGCCACCTCAGACTTTTGGAACCACCTTGGGGACTCACCTGCAGGGATTTCCCTCTCAGCACCTCTTTGCCATGATTTGTCTTGCTTGATCCTACTGACTTCCACCCATAAACCATTCTAGTCAAATCTCTGTGTGTTTCTACATGACCTTGGACAGGTCGTGTAACTTCTCTGCACAAAGTTAAATACATTCACTGCCTACTGCCACCACCCTTTCCCTAGGTAAACTGGTTCCTCCTCCTGAACTCAGACCTCAGCTGGTGTCACCACCATCCACCATCTGGGCCCTGTTCTCAAATCCTCCCTATCCCTTCCTCCCACCTCCAACCCTTTGACTCTCTGGGTCCTACAGACCTTTATGTTTTAAACTTCGCTTAAAGCTATTTCTCCCCTTTAACAACTACTTTCCTTGATGAAGTCCACATCACCTGGGTCAGTGGGATACTTTCTGAAGTGGTCACCTTGCTTTTGAACCTCTCCTTAAAATTCTCCCATGCACAGCCAACACAAATCTGACCAGGTTAGCATCACTAGCTTCACCTGGCTGAGCAGTTAAGAATCACACAGTAACTGTGCGACCTGCGGCAAGTTACTTGGTGGGTTCATGAAGTCCCTGAAATAGCATGGAAAACTTGGTTTGCATGTTTATTTTTCTGGTGAGAGGGTCCAGCGCTCTTATCAGAGACCTAACGATTGAGGTCTGCAGCCCAATCCCTGAAAGCCTATTAAGGACGCAATGCGACATTCTGTCCCACAAGACTTCCCTGCCTTTCTCCCACTGGACCCCACTCCCCATGGTCTTCCCTTCTTTCTCCGAATTAGAGGCCCAGCTCTCCTTTACCCTGATCTGTCTCTGCCATCCCCACTCACCTACAAGTCCATCACTGAGTCCTAGTCCTCTGCTAGTCACCTCCACTCATGCCCATACACAGAAAAGCCTACGTGGACAGCTTCTGCACCCCCTCACCCAGATCCCTCTGCTGGGGGAGCTCCTGTATCAGAAGCGACCCCAAGCTCAGAAGGGTACGCTTCCCGGTACGCTCTCCTGCGGCCTCCATCTCTCACTGTCTGACGTCTCTGTGCACATCACCTCTCTTTCCACAGCCTCCAGTCCTGCAGGCGGCAGCGTGGAGCCGCCTCCAGCTTTCATCCTGAGGCTCATCAGCTCCCCTTCTCAGTTTTCCTCCATTTGAAGCTGCTTAGAGGAAGAGCTGAAGGACACACAGCTCACCTGGGGCCAGGCTGTCAGGAGCATGGCTGTTACCACCTGGTTTCCCTCTCAGAGAAGGGTTGTAACTGAGGAAAAAAACAGACACACATGTAAGGCAAGCCATTCCCACCAGGGGTCATAGAGCCCCTCACAGAAGATCTGAAATGTAGGCGGCCCACATCCAAATAGCAGTGAGAGCAAGTGCTGCTGCAGGAAGAAGGCAGTGATTTCTTCACAAGCTCAGCCCCTGACACTGACACTCTGACACTGATGCTCACTGTCAGGAACCCTAGGATTTTACAATTCAGACACAATTCAGAATGTATGTAAAATGTATGCAGAGCCTAAAGAATAATAAAACAAAGACTCATATATCCACAACTCAGCTCAAGAGAGAATATTACCAACATCTCTAACTTATTTCTCTTTTTCTAAACTAGCATCATCTTTGGTTACACTGTAACAGAAGCTAGGCTGGCTAGGCTGTGGCCTCAGCACAGAGGCTGCAGAGTCAGCCCAGGGAGGCAGCGTCTGGAGGAGCAGCTGCTTCCTCACATCCTGCCCTACTCCCTCACAGAGCTCAGGGTGTCCCCAAGGGTCTTAATGCCTTTGTGGAGACCTTGGATATGTTCCTTAACTATGCTTTAAAAAACCTTGGTAGAGATGGAAAGGAGAAAGATAGTAAGCCATCTAGAAATGCTTGCTTAGCATAATAGGTTCTTGGAAATTTTAAAGTGAAAAATGACAAATAAGGAATATACATACTGAGAGAAAGGATCCAGTAAAGAGGCAGTTGAAAATGAGAAAGGATAACTGATGTATTGCTATCCTGAGGAGACAAAAAAAAAGAAAAAAAGAAAAAACCAGAATCCTGAGGAGGAGGGGGACAGAAGAGCCCACTAGTTCTGGGGCACAGGCAGGGATAAGAGTAGGTCTAGATATCTTCTGGAGGGAAATACTTGACACAGTATAGACTTCATTGCCGTATAATAGAGATCTTGTGAGTGAATAGATAACGTAAGTGTAAGGTGGGAGAATAGTGACATTTTCAGGAAAGAAAGGAAACTAACCAAAGGGCCGTCCCAGAAGCACAGCCTGGCTGACTTGGCCTCCGCACTGTACCTGGAGCTAAACCTCTGTCAGAGGCTGGAACACTCTTAGGAGAGTGTTCCCATCTCCCCTCAGGAATTGCTTGTGGAAAGGCCAAATCATTTCCAGGTCACTGTCACCCCACAGCCCAAGAGAAGCAGGGTAAAGTTACCATTTGGAGCTGACATCGCTCCAGGAGACAGGGCCCTCCGAAAGCCAGGCTTCTTCTGGACCCGGGTGGCTGGGAGGGGCTCCGCTTTTTCTGAGCTCAGTCTTGGCCCTTATTCACAACCCTATGCCAGGAGCCAGGGAGCACACTGTCCAAACTTGAAATGCCTGAGTAAAAGCCCCCGCACGACCTCAATATGTCAAAAGGTATGTGATGTTACCTCAGACCTCTTCACGCCTGCAAATATTCCACCCTGTGGTTGCACTGACACATCTTCCCAAAAGGTCGGCAGCATCTTCCCTGAGCAGATCAAGTGCTAAATGCTCGGGACGTTGTGGCTGTGATAGTAACACCGGCTTCGTCTTCAACGAGACGGAACGTAATTAGGCCATCATGTGTAAAGCCGGAGTCAAGAACCGGCGAAAGACGACCCTGGGCCGCCGCCTGGCTCCCTCTCCCAGGCTCGGCCACCCAGCACCGAGAGATACAGCCTCCTGAGGGTGGAGGCGTGTCTCAACCACACCAGGAACCGTCGGGTCAGGACACCACCTACAACACCCACAGCCCCGCGCTTACCTCCCCAGCCAGCGACTACGCGGCGCGGCAGGAAATGCGTCACAAGCCGCCGCCGAGCCACTCTAGGAAATGAGTCTCTCCCTCTCGGTGGTACCCCCACCCCCACCCCAACCCAAAGCCTCTGACAGGTGAAGGCTTTGAGCCCATGGGCTAGTATCTAAAAGACATAAAGAACTTTCAAAAGTGAACAGTAAGAAAAGAAACCAACAAAATCAGAAAATAGCTCAAAAACAAAAAGATACTTCATCAAAGTCAATTGGTAAAACATAGTTCATAAAGAAAATGTTATAAATCCTACTTTGGTGAGTAGCGTCTGGGGTCTTAAAAGGTTGCGAGCGGCCATCTAAGATACATCTATTGGTAATATCCCATCCAGAGCAAAGGAGAATGAAGAAAACGAAAGACACAAGGAAAATACTAGCCCAAAGACCCGAAGGACCACATAAACCAGAGCCTCCACCAGCCTGAGCCCAGAACTAGAACGGTGCCCAGCTACCACCACTGACCACTCTGACAGGGATCACAACAGAGAGTCCCAGACGGAGTGGGATAAAAATGTAGAACAAAATTGTAAATCACAAAAAAAGACCAGACTTACCGGCCTGACAGAGACTGGAGAAACCCCCAGAGTATGGTCCCAAGATGCTCTGCTACCTCAGAACTGAAACCACTCCTGAAGCCCACTTTTCAGACAACAACTAGACAGGCCTATAAAACAAACAATAACACACGTGAGTAACGTTCTTGTTAGTTCAATTAAATATACAAGACCAACTCCTGCCCAAAAGCAAGACAAGAAGGCAGGGAGGGACAGGAAAACTGGACAAATGGACATGGGGAACCTGGGGTGGAAAGGGAGAGAGTGCTGTCACATTGTGGGGATTGCAACCAATGTCACAAAACAATATGTGGATACATTTTTGAATTAGAAACCAACTTGAGCTATAAACTTTCACTTAAAGCACAATAAAATTTTAAAAAAAGAGAGAGATACTTCACCAAAGATGATGTATGGATGGCAATTAAGCACAAGAAAAGATTGTCAAAATCATTAGCCACTGTTGCTGTTAGATGTTGTGGAGTCGATTTCGACTCACAGAGACCGCATGTGACAGAGGAGAACTGCTCCATAGGGTTTTCTAGAGTGTAATCTTACAGGAGCAAATCACCAGGTCTTTCTTTGGCTAAGTGGGTTTGAACCACCAACTTTTCAGTTAGCAGCCAAGCATTTAACTGTTGCACCACCAGGGCTCCTTCATTATCCATTAGGGAAATACAAATTAAAATCACAATGAGATATCACTACACAAATATCAGAATGACTGAAAGAAAAAATAGATACAGCATCAAATGCTGGTGAAGGTGTGAAGAAACTGGGTCATGCATACATTGCTGATGAAAATTAAAATGATACTGCCACTCTGGAAAACAGTTCAGCAATTCCTTTAAAAAACTAGGCATGTAACTACCACAAAAAAAAACAAAAACAAAAACAAACCAAACTCATTGCCATCAAGTCATTTCCGACTCATAGCGAACATACAGGACAGAGCAGAATTGCCCCATGTGGTTTCCAAGGAGTGGCTGGTGGATCTGAACTGCCAACCTTTTTGGTTAGCAGCTGAACTCTTAACCACTGTGCCACCAGGTCTCCGTAACTAACTACCATCCTACCCAGCAATTGCACTTCTGGGGATTTATTCCAGAGAAATGAAAATTTATGTTCATACAAAAACCTATACATGAATGTTTAATAGCAGCTTTACTCACAATAATCAAAAACTGGAAACCTTCTAGATGCCCTTCAATGGGTGAATTGCTAAACAAACTGTGGTACATTTATACCATGGAATACTACTCAGAAATAAAAATGAACTATTGATACATGCAACAACCTGGATGACTCTGCAGAGAATTATTCTGTGTGGGGGTGGGGGGGGAATCCCATTCAAAAATGTTACATACTGTCTGATACCATTTATATAATGTTCTTGAAATAATAAAACTATAGAAATGGAGGACAGATTAGTTGTTTGCAGGGTGAAGGAGAAGGTTGAGTGGGGTGGGGTAGGGTGGGAGAAAAATGGGTATGGCTGTAAAAAGGCAACATGAGAGATCCTTGTGGTGATGGAAATGTTCTGCAGATTGACTTTATCAGTGTCAATATCCTGGTTGTAGTATTATACTATAGGTTGCAAGATGTTACCCTTGGAGGAGTCCCTGCACACAGCAGTCAAAAGTCCCAGGGAATTAGCAGCACTCCAGCGTGTAAATGGTTATAGAACTGCCCCAGGACAGAGTACTACAATAGAAAACAGGTAAGCCATGGTGCTGTCCAAGGTGCTAGCTCTGCCTCGGACGTTTGTTTAGGGAGCTCTCCAAGGTTCTGGTTCTGACCTCAAAACCATTACTCTCCAGTCTGGTGCTGGTTCTTCTCTATTTTAACCCTGATCTCCAGACACCCCATCTGTTTCTTTGAACCCAAGTGGACTGAACCTGACCCGTATCACCGAGTGCCCCAGCCCCTGCTTGTCTCTAGTTATCACCCTGCCTCAAAATCCAGAGAATTCAAGGACATTGAATTTATCGTGGATCCAAATGGTCAGGGGAGGCTTCTGGGAAGTTTTACTACATCTTTAAAAGTTGTTATAAAATGGATCAGAATACACACATACACACGCGCGCGTGCTTTGAAAAGTTAAAAAGGTAGACGGAGATTGGGTATTGTTGGTAACAATAGAAATTATAAATTACCTCAACATGATTTAAATGTAATAAAAATACAATAAAATTGGAGAATTCATATGCTCCAATGACTTTACTAAACCACCTAAACTCTCTCCTGGAACAAATTACCTTGCATGCAGGTATTGTAAGCCATAAAACATCTTTTATCTGAAAAGAACCTTATTAGCTCTAAATACTTTCATATATATTATGTGTTTTCCTTCACATCATCTTGAAGAAGGTACAGAAAGTATTATTGCCCTTTTATAGATGAGTTAAAACAAAGTTCACAGATTACAGCCCTTGTAGAGCATAGGGTATAGTCGGGGAGACAGGCATTAAATAAATCAGCACCTGAATAAAGAAGTCATTGTAGACTTTTATGCTACTGTGTCTTCAGGAAACCTAATTAACATCTTTGTGCCCAATTCTTCAATTGTAACATGAAGATACTTACAGTACCTACTTCATAAAGTTGTGTAATTAAGTGTAACGATTAGTAAAGTGCCTGGCATATGGTGTCAAAAAAAATTACAGCTATTACAACTTATTAAAGGGCAGTTGTAACTGGTACAGCAACATGTAAAACTAACAGTCCCTGGTTACTTTATTCAGTTTGTTTTGAGTGACTTTTACATTTTCTGTCCTCTAAATGATTCCTGGAGCACTGGTAGTGCAGTGGTTAATCCACCAACTGCTCCTTGGAAACCCTATGGGGCAGTTCTCTGTTCTATAGAGTCGCAATGAGTAGGAATCAACTCTTTGGTAACAGGTTTGGTTTTGGTTAAATGATCCCCCTGGAAATAACTCAAATGTTCACTAACAGTAGAATGCATTACTGTGTATTGTATACAATGGTATATTCACGTAAAGTAATACAGGTAGTCTCCAACTTAGGATGGGGTTCCATTCCGACGACTCCAGTCAGTTCTGATGTTTAAGTCGAATACATTTTTTTGTTTTCATATTTTTGCCTTTTTTTAAAAAAAAAATCGGTGTCTTCATAAATCTGTTGTCATTGAGAATGATAACGTCAGCAAATTATGCACTGCAACATTATATATAGTACATATTACTAACATGTACCAAAAAAAAAGATGGTTCTAAGTGTGGTTCATCATAACTCAAGGACTACCTTACTATGCAGCAATGAAAATGAATCTACACTGATTATTTCATTTATATAAAATACAAAAACAGGCAAAATAATTTGATAGAAGTCAAAAGAGAGGTTATTTTGAGAGTAGTGACTGAAATGGGGTGCAGAGAGACTTCTGGATTGCTGGTAACATTCTATTTCTTGATCTTGGTGCTGATTATCAGGCTATCTTCTTTGTAAAATTCCAAGTTGCACAACTATGACTTGTATACTTCTGTATGTGTGCTATATTTCAATCAAGACAAAAAAATACTACTAATGCACCACAACTACCACAGCCTCCAGCTGACTGGGTCCCATACAACTAGATGGTGCCCGGCTAACATCACTGACTGCTCTGACCAGGAACACAACAGAGGTTCCTGGACAGAGCGGGAGAAAAATGTAGAACAAAATTCTAACTCACAAAAAAAGACCAGATTTACTCTCCCAAAGGAGACTGGAGAAACCCCGAGAGTATGGCCCCCAGACACCCTTTTAGCTCAGTGGTGAAGTCATCTCTGAGGTTCACCGTTCAGCCTGGGAGTGGACAGCCCCATAAAACCAAATGGGACTAATGAGGTACAGCAGTCCAGGGACAAGGGCCAGAAGGCAGAAGGGGACAAGGAAGCTGGTGATAGAGAACTCAAGGTTGAGTAAGGATAGTGTTGATGTGTTGTGAGGTTGTTAACCATTGTCATAGGGCAACATGTGTACTAACTGTTCAATGAGAAACTATTTTGTTCTGTAAGCCTTCATCTAAAGTGAGAATAGCAGCACAATTGGAAGAGCGTAGTCGACGTCACTGAACTGTACAGGTAGAAATTTTTGAAATGGTGTATCTTTGTCTATGTATATTTTCACCAAAAAAAAAAAAAAGTCAAGAAGGGAGAGGGTTGACATGTTGTGGGGTTGTTAACCAACGTCATAAAACAATATGTGTACTACTGTTTCATGAGAAACTATTTGTTCTGTAAGCCTTCACCTGAAGTACAATTTAAAAAAAAAAAAAAAAAAGACCAGACTTACTGGCCTGACAGAGACTGGAGAAACTCCCAGAGTACAGCCCCCAGACACCCTTTTAGGTCAGCAATGAATTCACTCCTGAGGTTCATCCTTCAGCTAAAGATTAGGCAGCCCCATAAAACAAAACAAGACTAGTGGGGCACAACAGCCCAGGGACAAGGGCTAGAAGGCAGGAGGGGACAGGAAAGCTGGTAATAGGAAACCCAAG